CTAGTGAATGTGTTATTCATTCCTTTCCACAATGTTATCTCTCCATTTTTCTGTTTATCCCCTTGCTCCATTTTTCATTTTGCCTACTATTTTCCACTTCAAATTTCAGCTTTCAAAGAGAATGCACAGAAGAGGTTGAAGTGCTAACCTGTGTATTTGGAATCTCAGTACAAGCATTAAATAGTAAGAGCAACTGCCTTGTAATAAGTGGTTATGAGAAACCTGACTATGTGCAAATTCAGTTTTAGTGCATATTTAATGAACCTCATGAATCCACATTAAAGCTAAAATTACAGTTGCATTTTCTAAAGCTGTCATAACATGACTGTCTCTTAGGTAGTGGTAGTTTTAAATTGGTTGAATTACACAGTTAATTTTCATATCAAATATTTTCCAGCTAAGAATATGAAAGCAATTACATATTTTGGTACAGGGTTTTTTTTTCCCCTCTGAGTGCATGACCGTCACCAATGCATCTTGCTCTTGGCAGGCTGTTTTTACAGTCTACTGCTATCACTCGATTTATTTTCACATCTTAGAAGACCGAAATTAAAAGGGACACACTTTGAAAAAGAAATTGTGTTTAAAAAAAAAAAAAAGAAAAGAAAAACAAGATGTGCCGGTTTTATGCCTTTTAAAAGTTACCATGTCTGGAAAGTGGTTTTCAGAAGAACTGCCTCCTAAAGGAGTTCTGCTATGAACAACCCATACTGCCAGTTTATGAAGGCACTGGGATGTAACACAGCAATAATAATAAACCCCAGTAGTTGAAAAACATTTCTTGATACAGCAAAAACAAGTGAACTTGTCTAGAAATGGAAAAAAAAAGCCAGCACGTACTATATAGGTTGTTGCTACCTGTGAGCAACCCCTAAGGATCTGTGGAGGCAAGTGGGCTCTGCTGTTAGGTATTCATGTAGGACTCAGAAACGCAAAGATCCCTCTGAGAACTTAATCATAGGAATAGCCAAGCAGGATTCCTTCCTTGCTTAAGTTTTAGATCTAAGACCATCTCCAAATCATACACATTTGAGCTTAAATTTATAGCTCGTTTTGTCTTCTTGACAACTATGTTACACAAAACATGTAAACAAACCTGTCACTCACCACTCTAGCTCCAGAGGCATGCAAGTCAGTATTTTGCCTTCAGAGGGGATTCTTGGATGGACTTGAAACAAGAAGATTTTATAGCTGAAGATCCAAAATTTGTTTCCCAGGTAGCCCAGCAGAACTATCAGTTGTTGCCCTTCCAGACAAGCTAAAGGGCTGTCAGCCTGCTCATGCTCTTGCATAAGTAATGGCTAGAGGTAGGCGGCTATGGCTATCTGCATGGTACAGAAGCATATCCCACTTTACACCATTTTGGTCAAGCTAGTTGCACCTCAGTATCAGGATGTCACACTGCAGTACCTGCCATGGGTGGCAGCAGCCTAAATACAATTTATGCCTTTGAAAAGGTAGGGCGTGTACATCTAAAACAACGTGTCTTTGCACGAAGTGAATTCTTTTAAAACAGCAAAATCTTTAAAAGGATACTGCTGTCCAAGTAAGGATGAGGGTGAAGTATTGGTTTGCTTGAGATCAGCTGAAGTTACTAAAAATCAGCAGGTGTAATCCGAGTTGAGTGCTTGCTTCTGCCCTAACGGAGACACTTGAAGAAATAGCATTTCATAGGCTGCAGACAATGAAGCAGCTGACCTTCTTTAATACATAGGCTTTTGGGCATGTGCTGTCTTGTAATTTTGGTATATAAAGCCTGTAGCAGCGTGGGAAAATAAGACAATGCATATCTGCTTTGCTGACATACTCTTCCATTCCTGGTAAGCCATATGAAAATAGAGGGGCAGGATTTTACTGTCAAGCAGGTCCTTTTTGTTAAGGGAGATAAAGAAGTCTCCACAGTCTGTTCCCTATCCAAA